GAGGCAGATGAAGTGGCTAACCTGTAGATGTGTAATATAGGTGTGGATTATTTGGTCCTGTTGTATTTTCACCTGTATGTACGCCCTTTTATACTTCACATATGTATGAAAGTAGGACAGTGTTATTTATTAATAATAGTGTGTACCAGGTTCAGGTTCTGGTTTGATACGATCATCTATCTAGAGAGAGGTGAACATGAAATTGCAAGACAAAATTGCTAAGCCCAGCCCAGATCCCTAGAAGCCTCATTACCTTCACCACAGATCTCTCCCTGCTGCTACCCCTAACATTCCCACATCACTGTTTTAGGGAGAATGGAAACAGCCTCGGACCTGGATGGGGTTGGGTAACAAGAAGAAAGAACAGTTTGTTTCATTATTAGCATTATAATATTCAGGGAAAGGAGGGCATGGCGTTTTGATAATCAAGGAAAGGTAAATTTTGAACATTCCTAGGTAATTGAAGTTTAAAATAATATCCCTAAGTCTTTATTTATAGTATTTCTAAATATTTATAGTATACTGCATATTCTTTACTTGTAACTATACAAAAAAGTGAAAATACATAAATAGATGAATTAGTCCTCACATTTTGTTGAAACAAAATGTCCTTTCCATTTATGTTTTCCAGGTTTTCTAAAAATATAAATATATACCTTTACATATTAACTTGATCTTATACATGATATCTGTAATACTGGGACTGAATAAAGTTAGCAAGTAGCACATTAATAACATAAAATATGAAATTTATAACCAGAACTGACACATCATATCACACTCAGGTTTTCTTCCAATTTCCCTTGGGTGGATAGTGGGAAAGAGAATTAGTGATCGTCTGATTTGCCTGCTGTCTCTCTGTTTTTCAGGCAAGTACAACAGAATCCTAGAGATGCTTCCTGGGATTGATAAACCGGTCTGCTGCTGCTGTCTTGTTAATTTTTATTTGACAAAATTCCATTTGACTGTCTCTGCTTCTTGAGATAACATATTAACTTCCCATTATATTTCATATTTGGCAATACACTTTTTAAAATTGAAACATCTTTGCTAAAATATGATATGCCAATCTTTTGAAATATTAGACACCATGTTTTCTTTAAATTAAGGACTTTAAATGATGCTGAATATTTGTCTTAGCATGAGTTTTAAAACAAATTTTCAAGGAGGTAAACATCTGTAAAAACACCGAATTTGAAAGGAAGAGATTATAGAAATGGGTATAGGTAAATCAGTGACATAGGCCCTGAATATAAAAAGAGAATCTGTGACTATGTGTGGCATTTAATGCTTTTCAAAAGGCATTTTTTACATAATATGTGTGTCTACTTCCCATTCTCTATAATTTAAAGAATATTCTTTTCATAGCTATTATTTTTGGACAAATGGTTAAACATTATATATTCCTTTAAATATTAACTATCTGTTTAATTGTAATTTGTTCAATATTCAACCTCCTTTTTGAAAGTGTTTTTACATATACAATGAAATTACCTTTTATTGTGTATAAAGTTAAAAAGTCTTTTAGAAGTATTATACAATGAAAAGAAATTAAAAAATTGACATTATTGACACAAGATCCATGTTAGTGTTTACTCATGGAAATAGCACAGAATACTGCCTAATTAGTGTGGTTGGTAAATTTTGGCATTTAATTTTCTCTGTTATTGTAAACCATGCATAAAATACTTGCCTATTGAGAAGTGCAGAATTGTCAGAGCTTAAACAGCTGACATCTGCTTACTCTCTTTAAAAAAAAAAAGAAGAATAACAAGCCATTTCAGCCTAATCTACCTCAAATGTGCCCATGTAAATGGGGTCCATCTATTGGGCTGTGTGCTTTTCAGCTCAGGATTGGTCCACATGGTTTATGAAACCAGGAAGGCTGATTTGAAATGCAGATGTGGAGACAGTGAAGTACACCCTCCCTTTTTTCTTTGCTGTATCTGTCAGGGTGAAAAATGGCTTGCACAAGGGTCAGTCACCCGAACTCACTTAATTACTTTTCTTGGACCCACAGAACTGTCACAAGCTGTGGTGGATGCGGGAGCTGTTCCTCTTTTAGTACTTTGTATCCAGGAGCCAGAAATTGCTTTGAAAAGGATTGCTGCTTCCACGCTCAGTGATATTTCAAAGCATTCTCCGGAGTTAGCACAGACTGTGGTGGACGCAGGCGCTGTTGCTCACTTAGCCCAGATGATCCTGAACCCCGACGCGAAGTTGAAGGTATGTAAAAATAAAGTTAAGCAAGCAAACAAGCCAGGCTTTTTATAATCTAAGAAAATGGACATGTGCAAGGATTATAAAGTTCACATTTAAATATCATTCCTAAGTTATCACTGAAAACAGATAGGAATTATTAAGTATTTGGCCTTTGAGTATGTGGAAAGCATGCTATAAGGATTGGAGGATAAAGCTGCACATGAGGAAATCTGTGCCATGTTCAAAACTAGAGTAGTACCAGTATTTACATGACTCATTAAAGTATGTAATCTTGGGGGGGTGGGGGAGAACACAGTGACTGGTGGAGGGCCTTGGGCATTTCGGTGGTGGGAGACCTCACCTGAGGGGGAATACCAGCAAGGATGTAAAACAATGATACCTCACTAAAAAAAATTTTTTTTGTAATTTTAGTGTGTAGTTGAGGAACTTTGATACCCATTATAATAGATTAAAAAGTCTTGCCATCTCTACATGAAAAACAACCAGAGTGAAGCTCATCCAGGTGAGTAGCATATTTGTGCTTTCAAAGTAGCAGGGTTGTAGTTAGCACATTAATTTCACTAAATGAAAGTTCAAACTTTACCAAATGTTTTTAGTTCCTAATTAAAAATCCTTGGCAACATTAAAGAAAAATTTAAAGATGATCTTACATGTTAAGATCACAGTGATCCAGGCTCCTCCTCTTTTCTTAGCTATCACAGTTGATTGTCAATGCTGGAGGAGTTGCCGCCATGATTGACTGTATCGGGTCCTGCAAAGGAAACATCAGGCTGCCTGGCATCATGATGCTGGGTTACGTTGCGGCTCATTCTGAGAACTTAGCCATGGCAGTGATCATTTCCAAGGTTTGTTCTAGTTTTGTTTTCTTCTATTTATTGCACTGACATATTTCCAGATAGACCCACAGGTTAATACTCTCACAGAGTGTAATAGAGACCTGAGCAGAGTGAAACAATTTCCTGAAGAATTTATTGTCAGTGTTTGTGACAGGTTGTGAAAGCTATACTTGAAATAGGTTTATTTTTTGGAAATTTAAAGTTCTTTCAGTGTTATCAACAAAATAGCCGCTTCTTTGAGTATGACTTCCTGTATTTAAATACTAAGTTATCTGTTTGTCTTCAAGCCCTTGCACACATTTACAAACATGTAGCACATACCTTAATTTGAAACAACTGCTGCAAATGAGGTGCCTGTCAGTCATTTGCGTTATCCTGAGAGGCCTATACATGCTTCTCTTTCCTGTCACTTGGGCAGGAGATGACAGTTGTTAGAGCATCCCTTTTTCTACTTCCTTCAGCTGTGATGAACTTATTTTTTTTCTTAGATGCAAGAAATTCTGAGCACATGTCAAATAGTAAACACTTTGTATCTGTGATGTGTGTTTTTGGCCCTATTTTAATTTGCAACTTGTATTAATCCACCCTATAGTAGAGCCCAGGTCTATTGCTAGTGCTCAAAAATATTTGTTGAATGGGTAAATACTGATCTCCTGAAGAATGCTTGGTAGACTGTGTGCTTACAGTGCCTCTGGCAACCCTCTCAACAGGAGCTTTCTTGTCAGCATGGAAGCATGCTGTTGTATGTTAAACCTACATAGTCCCCAGAATAAAAGAGGGGTCTCAGATCTTTATTTTCTTCACTCTCTTTTTGTCCTGCTCTTCTACTACCCGAGGCTGTGGTGACCGAGAATTGGGGCCGCTTTCTGAAGGGCCACACTGGGGACAGTAGCACAACCTTCGACTCCAGGTTCCTCTGTGGGGAGTCAGAAAGCTCACGCACAGGAAGCATGATGACAGAAGCAGCAGTTGCTCCTGTTTCCTATATTTCTTACCCAAAACCACTAGGAGCCTCTCCTGCTTTGCCTGGGGTTGCCGCTGGCCTCTCCTATCATGTTGGCCTTTCTCTTATGAAGGCCATGGGCCAGCAAGCAACTTGAGGCAAACCATACATGACTGAATTGTTCTTTCCTTTTCCCACATGTACTGTAAAGACTAATAACAACATCTTAAATTTAAGTAACTCGATATCACTCTCGAAGCACATTCATGTTCTCTGTCACATTTGCTAATCGTAACAACCTAGGGGCCACTAAGTCTGAGTTTTAACAGTGGAGTGGAGACAGTTGCCTTCTTTTCCTCCTGCTTCATCAATCTTGGTACATCCCAGAGGTAGGAACTTTCTGGGAACTTGTTTCCGACAGGTCTGATCTTTGTGTTGGCAGGCATAGTGGAAAGCTGGCTAGTGGAGAAATAGTGCAGGTCTCTTTAGGAAATTGTTCTTTACAGCAAAGGAAATGTGGAAAAAATTATAACATGATCGTTTGTAACCTCTGCTGTGGTAGCATGCAACGTAATACTGGCAGTGGTGGTACTAAATTTAAGGGAATAAATAATGAAGTCTAAATTAGTTAGAAAATTACACCTATACAGAATGTGGATTGATAATTTGAATTGGTGAGTTGGTAAGTACTGCTCTTCCAGATTTTTCTTATGAGGACTTGAATCTTGAAGATGTTAGGTGGTTATACACTGAGTTCTAGAGCCAGGATCACATCCAGGCAGTCTGACTTTAGAGCCAGTATGCTCTGTATTTAATTCCTGAAAAGCAAAACAAAGCAAAAACACTAGCTCAGTAGGCATGGAGTTAGAATGGGGTCGCAGACCATTTGACTCAAGGTCTGGTTGTGTAGTTATCAGTTGAGCTGTTAGTCTGCACTGCGAGGACAGATGGACACTACGTCTACCTCAGTTCTGCTGCGCTATTACTGAGCTTAGGGCTCCTCATCCCAGCGAGCCTGGGGTCCTGCTCCTTTAAGCATGCGTCCTGGAATTTTCATTTGTAAAACAAAGACTTAGTAGAATTTATTGAAAATAACTTTTAAATGGAAGTTTTTAAAGAAACCATTCATGATCAGATATAATAAGTAATTTATTTTTGTTGTTTCCTTTCTCTTCTCAGAGGTATGTACTCACCTGAGCCATTTTTATGGTCTCCCTCCCGGTGCTCTGCAGAGTACCTGGTATGTGACAAACTCAGCCACTACTTCTTAAACAACTTACTCAGAAAGTATTAGTTAAAATTCAGATAGTTGTGCATTGTACTGAACAGTGCACAACTATGAAGATAAGGGTCATACAGTGTTGTTTGATATGTTGCTGGTTTGGCATTTTAATTATTTTAGGAAGGAATTGTGAATACATCATTTTTAAAAAAATTTCCCCTTTGTATTCTTTTTTTTTGAAACTCACAGCATTATTTCCCAAATTTTATGTTTCAGTACACAGAAAATTATTATTTTTTTAAAGATTTATTTATTTGTGCATACAGAACTGGGGTGCAGGCCAGAAGTTCAGGGGCGATGAGAGGCTTCACCAGAGACAATGGGGAACAGAACAGGCAGATCTACGAAGTACACTGCTGAGGGGAGCAGCGGGCGGGTCAGGAGAGGTCTGCCACGCCATGTGGTCACCTCCAGGGCAGGCGGGAATCGAACTCATGCGGAAGCGGCTTTTAGATTCTCAGTGCTGTGCTTTAACCCGCTGCGCCACCAGGGAGGGCCAGAAAATTATTTTTTAAAAGCTTATTGAGGTATAAATTATATATATCACCATTACTTCCTAAATATTATGCAGAAAGATTTGAAGGGACTACTTATATCCACATAGTGTATACAAAAAGAAACCCCAGTTCCTATGGATATTTTTCTACATGAAATATTGTATGGATATTTATAAATATTGCCTTTAATACAATTCCATTTTTAAAATTAATTTATAATGTGAACTGGGACAAAACACATTTTTCCTTAAGAAAATACACTGCAGGGCCCTCCCTGGTGGTACAGTGGATTAAAGCACAGCACTATGAAGCTGTCCGCAGCCACTGCAGCAGAAGCTCTCGGAACACGTGACCCACACTACATGGCAGACCTCTCCTGCCTCCCCCGCTCTCCTCTCAGCAGTGTATTTCAGTAGATCTGCCTGTTTTTCTCCCCACTCTGTCTCTGGTGAATCTTCTCACCCCCCCAACACCTCTGGCATGTACCCCAGTTCTTGTAGGTATTAATAAATAAATCTTAAAAAAATAAAAGAAAGAAAATACACTGCATACTGAGAATCACATGAAATAAACGAATGGGATAATTTCTGGCTGAAAAATAAGATCATCTAAATTTGAGGTTCTTGCTCAAATTATTTATTTGATTTTAGATTTATACTAGTTATTTTGTTCTTAGATCTATCATGCTTGGTGAAAAAACAATTATTAGGGATTTTAAATTAGCTTTTTAAACAAAGAGAAATAAAAGGTTTCAAAATCCTAAGCACCTTTCATTTGTAACAGTGGAATCTGATTTTCCCCATAACCTAGTCTGTAGCATCTGTTCTCTGGTTAACTGCCTCTGTAGTGGCATGTAAACAGGAACAGATGATACATTCTTAGTTTAGTTGGATCATGACAGATAATTAAGGCAAATTAGTGTTAGTCATTCATTTTCCTTGCCTTGAAAAATGATAGTTCCTGTGATGTGCTCACTTATTGAAGCTTTTAGGGAAAAAATGATCAAGGCCAAAATGATCCCTTCCAATGTTTTAGAGACACAGAAGTCTCTTTATTCTGCTCGAGATTTACAACACCCCATCTTTTGACCACTGCTGCAGGGATTGACCCAGTTGCCATTGTGCTTGGCAGAAGAACTAAGAAGCTGCTGCCGCCTGGGCCTTAGGGCAAGTGGGCAGACACAACCTGAAGCACCCATGAGCTGCTGCCATCACTAATACTTTGCTGGTTCTGCTTTCTTTGTACCTGTCAAGAGAAAGTTCTGAGGATCTTCAAATAAAAGTGTTTTAATTCTCAACTGTTTCATAAAGATGTATTAGATTTTGCCTCATTCTTTAACATGTCATTTACAATGTTTTAATTTTTTTATAGACAATGTTATGTTTTTGAATAAAGGAATATAAATTTATTAGAATTGAAATGCCTCTTCTTTGAAAATGGGTTACCTGTATCTCTAAAAATCTGTAATATATATTTTTAAAGATTTATTTATTTATACATTTAGAACTTGGTACAGGCTAGAGGTGCAGGGGTGGTAAGAGGATTCCCCAGAGACAGAATGGGGAGCAGAACAGGCAGAACTGATGAAGCACACTGCTGAGGGGAGCAGCAGGTAAGACAGGAGAGGGCTGCCGTGCCATGTGGATTAGCTCCGGGCCGAGGATCGAACTCATGCTGAAGGGGCTTTAGCTTCTTAGTGCTGTGCTTTAACCCGCTGCACCACCAGGGAGGGCCTGGAAGTTTATTTCTCAAATGAGTATTTTTTCAATTTTTGTTAGGCTTTCTATATCAAAGCAAAGATTTAATAGATTTGAGGCTTCCCTCAAATTTTTCTACTGTTGAGTGTACTACTTGGTAATGCTTGTTACAGAATAAGGTTGAGAATGTGTTAAGGTCTTTCCCC